AGCACTAGAATCATCGTGCGCACGGACACGCGAGCGAATTTGTCACGCGGTATTTTTTTTTTGTATTTCGCGGGCTTTTGCAGTTAGCAGAAAAACACTAATACCTAACAGATATAAAGTTCGAAACTCTTTAATCGGACATTTTGCCAACCGATCTACAACTTTCTCATTGAAATTTTTTATATATCTTCGTTTCTTGAAAAGCAAGCTAATTAAACATATCTAATTAAACAATATTTGGGAACACAAAAATATTCTAACTCCAGGCAACAGTGAGTAACATGCATTTGGTCGCGTCGTAATTACGTGTTCCGGCATATTTTTCTCTGGCTGAAGTTACGTGGGACACCTTATATATATATAATATATACTTTCGATCACGTCTCTTTCATTTTTCCATTTTCCTTGTGCCTTCGACGACGTCTTAGCGCTACTTTTTCCGCTGCGGGAGAACTGGTTGTGACGCAGATTTTGCAGGTACCTCTACGCTTTCTGCTTGCGAAATGTCACAATTTGCTTCTTCCACTCACGTATAGGTTATAGAGAAACCGGTGTTTACTGGTGCCGTTTTCTTCTTTCCAATCCAGTATTGTGTTTCCTTGTGATCACAACCCCGAAACGCAGTGATCGCTTCGCCGGCATTCTCGTATCTGTTTTCATGCGTATTTCCCCTGCGCAACTATATATACTGCAGTACACGTAGTTCCTGAGTAGAGGTGCTCAGTACACGAACACTGGACTCATCGTGCATAGTTGAAGTGCCGGATCAACAATAGAGTTGCTTCACTTACTCACTCTGCCATCAGAGATTGGAAAATGCATTCAGGGTACATGCGGCCGCCACAAAAGCGTGGAGTGTCTTGCTGCGAGAGCAAAGTATACACGGAAAAGACGGGTGGAAAAGAAAAGCACTGTAACGCGTCGTACACGGTCCAGCTGCAGAGGACGAAACAGATTTACTTGAGGAAGCATGCAGGCAATGCAAGGTGTCTGATATGAGTTCCCAGGACATCGACGGCGGTTTACTATATATCTGTGTACAGTGAAACCCGAACAGCGGCAAGCCTTCGCGGTGTCATGGTGCGCACCATCCACTTATCGTCATGGGCTAGCACGCATATATGCACAGAGCTACCGAACAGGATAGCGTGCCTGTCATTGGTGATAAATGGCGGCGTGCACTGTACCATCGCGAAGCCTTGCCACTGTTCGGTTTTCATTTGACGCAGATAGTACACACGGATGAGGTGATCATTCGTGATGACAACAGTTGCCGCTGTGGCCGCCCACCTTGGAAAGCCACGACAGGTCGCGAGTGCTTAGGCTTGTATGCACTGCAACGCACAGATATTCCTCACATGGGTGGCCGTCATGGAAGCCTCATGCAGCTTAAGGTTCGTATATTGTAAAGCTGCGCTTCGAAAAGCTTATCCAATATTATCAACTCGCCCTTAGAGACTTCTATATTTAATGTTCACTGAATACCCCGCCTTCGAAGCTGCAGCATCTTGTGTGTCGTGCTGCTTACCGGCGTCGTGCACGTCTGGCGACAAGCGCTACACACCAAACGCAAATAATAGGTGGTCAACTATTGTATTTCAGATCCCTTACCGTTATTCCTACCCGCCAAGCTGATTAGTGGTTAGGGTGCTCGACTGCAGATGTGAAGGTGGCGGGTTCGAACCCTGTCATGGTGGCCGCAATTTTGGTGGAAGAGAGAATGCAAGCAGCCCGTGTGCTTAGGTTGAAGTTCGGGACCAAGAACCATAGGTGGTCGAGATTTCCGGAGCCCTTCACTACGGCATTCCTTATATCGTAGTTTTTGAGGCGTAAAACCACTACAGTTTTGTTATTGCTGTTCTTGCTAAACGCACCCTGCTGCCATGCCTCTTTTTTCAAACCTCGTCACGGGAAGTTCCGGTGTGCCGTGACACAGCAGCCGCGTTCCCGGCGCGCTCAATTTCAGTATCGTCTTCCATCATAATCATCGTCATCAGCCTAACTTTATATACGCCCACTGCAGGGCAAAGACCTCTGCCATGTTTCGTCAATAAACCAGGAGCTGTGCTTTCTGCAGCCACGCTATACCTGCAAACTTCTTATTCTCATCTGCCAACGTAATTTTATGTCTCCCTCTCGCATGTTTACCTACTCTTGGAATCCAGTCAGTTACCCTTTATAACAACTGGTTATCTTACCTGCATGCCCGGCCCATGTCTATTTATTCTTGATTTAAACTATGATATCCTTAACCCTCGTTTCTTCCCAGAGCCACTCTGCTTTCTTTCTGTTTCTTAAGGCTACACCTATCATTTTTCTCTCCATCGCTCACTGCGTCGTCCTTTATTAAAGCTTTAATTTATATTGTTGATATCTGAAGTGCAAGTGTTTTGGGAAATTTTGATTGGCATTCAATTAATTTTGACGTCCTACTACTTTTCCACATGCACAACTGTCTTCAAGTTACTAATTAGAAAGTCAATAAATGAGTTTTTGTTATCATTTCAGTATCACTATAAGTCCGCCTCGACGCAGAGCTCATGTGCAAAGACAACATGTGCTATAACCTTACTGTTGTAGAGAGGAAGAACATTATGCGCCGCAGTGGGTCACACCTTTAGCGAGAGGAGCCAAGCGCGAGCGTTTGCCCCGAGAGCTGTGATTCATGGGTCCGTTGCTGCCGCCCCCTTTCCGCATCATTAGACCTACTGTGCAAGTGCTACTTGTGCCAATAAACCCCGTTTCAAAGTGGTGGAGGTGCTGGGTACTTCAACCTGGAACTCCGCAACAGGAAACTATCTGCCATCCCAGAAATGGCTGAAGAAAACACCCAGCAAGGTACCACCCAGCCTCCGATGGTCATCGTGCCCACTGCGCTACGCGTGCGCGATCCACCTTTTTTCGACGGTACCGATGAGCAAGACGTAGAAGATTGGCTGTCGACATTTGAAAAGGTAGGCAGGCGCAAGCAACAAGTGGGACGACACATCGAAGCTGCAATATGTACCCTTCTACCTTAAAAAGGCAGCGAGTCTGTGACTTAACAGACTTAACAACCACCACTCGGAATTCGCCACTTGGGGTGCTTTTAAGCTACGCATTACCGATGTATTCGGTTGCCCCGAGGTACGCAAGCTCCGTGCCGAACAGCGTCTACGGGGACGCGCACAGCTTCAGGGGAAAGGCTTCACAAGCTAGATCGAGGATGTGCTCGACTTGTGCAAGCGCCTTGACTCTTCAATGATCGAAGCAGACAAGATCAAACACATCTTGAAGGGGATAGACGACGACGCCTTCCAGATGCTGCTGGCCAAGGGCCCCCGTACCGTGTCCGAACTCACCACTCTTTGCCTGAGCTTCGAGGAATTGCGCAAACAACTGGTCATGACACGGCGGCCAGCGGCTACCGACGAAACTCTCGCGGCATTGACCCTAGGTGGAGACCACAACACAATCATGTCGGAAATCAAACGATATGTGCGCGAGAAGGTGGCCCGACAACTTTCGTGTCTGTCATATCAACCGGCAACCCCGTTTCACTGTCATATCATTTTCATATAAAAAGAAAACATTACTGTCAAAATAGAAGAAAAAGCTGTATACTTCACAGTGGTGTTATTTATGGCTAATATGCTTTTAGTAGCTATTGTACCAGTAAGTTATCTTAGTGACGTTTACGGAATACACAAAATGGCCATCCTGTCAAAGCGATTGCAGCTTGAGGGTCAGCGACGAGATGGCTGCGCAATCTCTTCTTAGCCTTTCTTCGTTAACGCTCATCACTGCTCTCAACAACAGCCGCGTGCTGAGCAGAATAGTAGGCTTTTCCGTGCTGACCAACGTTCAAACTGAAGGCGTTACCCGCTTCCTAAGGACATGTATGCTTGATTGACGCATGCGCCGTGACTTTGTTAATATTCCTATAGATATCTCGGTCATTTATTATATCACTCTGATTATGGCAGCCAACTAGAATTTCCTCTATAGTTAACCTTCTCTCTGTGATCTCTCTCCTCTTATTCTCACTCTCTCTGATAGCTTGTTTTCGTGGGGATCCTTTTACCTTGACGCACCCAATTAGAGAGTTAATTGCTAGGGTAGGTTTTTAAGATGCTTTCCCTTGCCGGAAACTTTTCAAGGCAGGCTGTTGTTTCTGCCCTTTTGTTTAGTTTCTGCAAATTTTGTTCTGCTACTAATCGTCTGCGTTGCCAACATGCAGAGGTGGTGACTATAGTTTGCATCATACACACTGCCGATGCCAGAAAATGCCCCGCGGCACCAGCTACGCAATAGGATATTACCTTGTTTATTGATCGTCCTCTCCGTATCACCATTTGTCGCACACGAACCCCAAGCAGTCGCTTCGAGAGCGTATTTTTTTGTGACCCCCTGAACATAACTTGGAGAATAATTGGAAATGCCTCTTGCTACACAAAAGCAATTATCGCTTTCCCGTGTTGCGGCATCGAAATGATCGTGTGCCAAACGCACGAATTTCTTGCTGATAAAATGAATGAGACACTTAGTAGTAAAGGTTGGTAATTTAGGGGGGAAGGATGTGCCCACGCATTCTCACTTATCAGCACCGTATTCAGAATAAACTTTCACTTTTTCTTAACATTCGTTTCAAGTTATCGCAAGTGAGTCAGTGACGAGACAGACGCGATACACTATCAGCTTTAGGCTTCTGTTGGTGTTCCTTCTCGTATAAAATGACTGCAACTAGAGCGCGACTTATCATATGATGCGTAATCTCTGGCGTCTTCCCCCGAATGCCTTGACTATAGACGGCAGGCAATTAGGGCGCACGCAGACGATTGCAGCACGATTTAGACCAAAGCAGTATAAAGAGACAGGAGAAACGGTGCATATATATGTGCGTATATGTGTTTCCTATATTCGTCTAAATTAGGCGCGAAAAAAAATACTATTTCAAGAAGGTGTTCCCCCCCTGCCACTCAGAAAAAATTCTGCCTACGCCGCGAGGTTCAGGAACTTACCTGTGGATTCACGCTGAGTTCCTGTGTGGATGAATACTCTGCAATGGCTTGTTTGGCTGCTTGTGTACCTGTAGATATAGGCATAATCGTTTCCAATCAGCGATAAATGCGGCTATGAACGAATGAAGTGCTATATCTCAAGACAACTACACAGGCGGCAAGCTCTTCGAAGTTATCCCCTAGACTTCTGACATGTTTGTTGTTTCGTCACAATGTGATTGATTGATTGATATGTGGGGTTTAACGTCCCAAAACCACTATATGATTATGAGAGACGCCGTAGTGGAGGGCTCCGGAAATTTCGACCACCTGGGGTTCTTTAACGTGCACCCAAATCTGAGCACACGGGCCTACAACATTTCCGCCTCCATCGGAAATGCAGCCGCCGCAGCCGGGATTCGAACCCGCGACCTGCGGGTCAGCAGCCGAGTACCTTAGCCACTAGACCACCGCGGCGGGGCTCGTCACAATGTGAGCAAAAGTAAATGATAAAACTGTTCTACATAGAATGGTGCCAAACATATGCGCGGGAATGCACGCACGCGTAGTTCGGAGCTGTACCCTATTGAGTCGCCGATATACAGCAGTCAGTATTTGCTGGCTGTCAGAACATCTCTTTCATTATTTTTGCATCTTTGATTTTTTATTTGTTATGACCCGTTGGAGGAACTTTCAAGAAACTGCGTGTAAAAGTGACTCGAACCATCGAAATCAGAAGAAACAAACAAAAGTGCAGTGAAGTCAAGTCAAAGAGCGAAATAAAGCTTCGAAACGTTTAGCAATTCGCTAAGTTGAGATTTGACATTTGAGATTTGGTTTATTTCACCATAATCGATACATAATAATATATACAGTTTGAACAAAGGTCGAATAGGCATAGTTCACGTGTATATATCTATAAAATAAGATTGTGTGGTCAGTGTTTCTCTTGCACCTATAGCCAGCAAGAACGAGAGCGAGAGTGGGCTCGTCGACAACACTTTCCATTAATTTTATTGTGGTCTCATTTAAGTCGGCACTAGATGCTCATTTTTGCCGTCGCCGTGATGTTCCGTATAAAGTCCAAATCGATAACGGCGCCCCGAGCGTTGTATGCTTCATGCGCGAGCGAAAGCTTGCGAAGACTCGAGACGGGCGCCGCTCATGCAGAGGTGAAACGCGCCGGTCGGCTCCGTCGGTAGAATGAATGAGCATGAAAGGGGGGGGGGGGGGGGGGCTGCGTGGCACATCACTTTGATCAAAAAAGCGGGGTCACCCGTGCTATCTCGATTGAGATCAGTGGACGGCTCGTAAATTTCTACTCGTGCTGTGCTCTCCCCGCTTACTTCGCGTTGAAGTGGCAGACAACACGAAAACAGCTTCACTCCCTGGAACGGCCGTATTCCTTGTGGTAGTATTATGTACAATTTGGTTTAGATTGGATACTATTGGAGTAGCTCAATTATAACCTTATTTTGTTTAACATTTCGGTTTGTTAATAGTGCTTTCATTGCTTCGTTCTGGCGGTGAAACAGTAACCTTTCATTTTTTGAAGATTGTGCATGCAAGGGACTGATGCATAGTGTTGAGACGCAGAAACGAAGCTTACTGCCACGTGTTGTCAGTTCTAATGCTTAAATGCGTCTTTAGCAAACGAAAATTAACACTGAATGGCTCAACCATCGCAGAGAAGGTTATTGATCATGAGAGAGTCGTAGCTTTTCCCGACGGGTGAAAAAAAAAGGGGGGGGGGGGGAATTCGCTTTCCGTGGATGGTGAAAGAGCACACCTACTCTACCTGCCTTCCCTTATACCTAACGCGGCTGGATTATGATGTATATATTATTTCTCGGTAATCACTAATTACATGACATCCGTGAATGATCGTAGTGTGACAGCAGCGTTCACTGATGCTCACCTGTGCTTGGAATGTAGCCATGGTTCTTCAGGCTTCGAAGACTGGTCTCAATCGGCGCCAGTATCTCCTCGCATGGCACCAAGTTGCCGAACACGGTGGGGTCGCCGATCGACAGCGAGATGAGCGTTTTCTCGGCGTTGGGAACGAGGCCCGCGTCTTCGACAAAGCCACGGATTGGGTTGTTGGTGTTGGTAGCGAACCGTGACGGGGGAGAATTCCACGAAGTCCTAACTCTCATCCCTACCTTCTTGTTGCAGTT